ATCGACTGAGATAAAGAATAAAATAAAATATTAAAATCACGATATATCTCGCTGCATTGTGCAAGTACGCTTCTAGTATATTTTTATATATAAGTTAATTTAAGTTTAATAATAAAACAATTTATTTTTGGTTTAATATTATAAATTTTATAAAAATAATAATTAAATATTTTGTTAAAATTTTATGGTTATACTAATTATATTTTAGATTTTTTAGATTTAAAATAAGATGTTTATCTTATATTTGATTGTGTTTATCAGCAGTTAGTTACACGAATTCAGATATGAGATGAAATCGTTTAGGAATGAACGGGGTTAAGAGTTTTTAAGAGTTTTAGCCAAATGCTTTATAAGATAGTATAGATTATTTAAATATGTAATTAAAAATATGATAAATTATAAACATATAAAATTGGTCGGGTGGGGAAAGCCCATGGGTCTTAGTCGGTGGGTCACGCACGCGCCAGATGAGCAAGGTAGAGAGACAAAGAGGAGAAAGAAGATTTGCGAGTGAAGGTTTGGACAAACCCTAATCAAGCAATCGAATTTGGGAGCAAAAAGTTCGTCCATCCACTCGCTCCACCCCCTCGCGTGGATTTTCCAGTAGATCGTAAGGGAATTTAGCACCACCATCGATTCTCATTACGTCCACGAGGTACACGTATACGTCCCTCCCTCTGTGCTCTCATCTTCTTCTTTTATCACTACCCACGACACAAAGCCATGTATCTTGAGGTTTCTCCTGTTGATTCTACTTCCACGTATCACAATTTATCGAATATGAACTGGGTTCATCTGGAGTGTACATAGAACAAGAGGATTCCCTCAAGACTTGGCTGTAATGGGTGCCACAGGGCAAGAATTAACCATTCTTGTACTTCTATCTTATTTGATTGTTCGACATGGTTGTCGGTATGTTGATTGGATTTAATTCTATTGCCATGGGTTCTTACCAATCTCATGTGGGATTTTCCAGTATAAATGCCAATTTACTTATAAGACGATCAAGATTGTAATTCTGTCTGTACCTAAGACTGGCTCACACTTCAAAGAGGATATCTTTCAGGACTTGCATGCTCTGGCTAGTTTGCCCAAAATTCTGATGTTTTTTGGTAGCGTTATACCCCGGTATTTCCATGAACTAGAGATCACTTTAGATGGTCAACAGACTCTAGGTGTTAAATGGTAATACATACTCTAGTTTTGGGACATGACAAATACTTGGTATTATTGTGATGATTTTCATAGGCTGTCATTTTATGTTTCTGCATCAGTTTATACGTATGTTACAAGGAGTGATGTTGCCCTCCCTCTTCCAGGTTTTATTTTCTGCAACGGGTAGTTCGTGTTGCTTAGGTTCCCTGATTCTCATTCATTTGTCTTCTTGAAATCTTATCGAGTTGATTGATTCGTTACGTTGCATACTATTATATTGGAATAAGCTTCCATATTTATTTCTAGATCGAGTATTTCAGAACTCTAGAAATAATCATCTTACCTTTCATGATGTCTTTCTTTTTTGAGGAAAGGTTCTCAACATCATATCTAATGGAATGATTCATTAAGCACTATGAAGTACAGCCTGTTGCCAGAAGATTATCTTATTATTGTGATGTTAGTAAAAGTCATGTGAGGTCCTTGTTTGTACTTGGACTACTGATGGGCATCCTTTTCCCCTTGAATGAAAAGATGAGGAACATGTATTTAGCTTTCCTTTTGTATGTGTATTCAACTTTTTTTCTTGCAAGAGGGTATTTATTTGCTCAAGTAAGCTTGCCATTTTTGCAGTAGTGCTTTCGGTTTTTGTCATCTCTATTGGGTTCACCTTTAATGTTATCATGATTGAGAAATCTTTGTGTTCATGATTTAACTTCGTCATTTGGAGCATGCAGCTTTTGCAATACGGTCTCGGCAGTTTAAAGTTCACATATTTCACAAGGGTCTGTACTCAATTAAAGTCAGCAGCGAGAGAATAGCAAATGGTATAAACCATTAAATATTGTTGGTCACCTTAGCAGGGTGACTTTTTTTTCTTCTATTAACTCAGTACTATGCTTGGGGTGGGCAAGAATAAACATTCTTCAACTTTTTTTCTTTGACATTTGACTTTTGCAGTCCAAAGCTTTGGTAACCAACAACAAGCTTTTAGAATGAAGTCTCAACTATGTGGCATTAGTCTAGTATTTTGAAAAAGTTTCCAATTGCTTTTTTAACTAATATTCATTGTCTCGTGTAGGTAGCAACTGAAAGAATTAAGTGAAAATACCTAAATTCTTGCCATGGATATTGATCTTAGGCTCCCTTCCGGAGAAAATGAAAAGGAAGAGAAAGAAGAGGCGAAAGAGATGAGCAATATGATGGATGGTGAACATAAAATGCACAGTGATGATGTTTTGGGCCGGGATATGGTTGGCATTCGAGACAAGTTGCCTCCTGACAGTGATGGGGGAGTGAATTCTCCATCAGTTGATATGGTAGACTTTAAAGAGGATATAAATCTTGAGCCAATAGCTGGTATGGAATTTGAATCACATGGGGAGGCATATTCTTTTTATCAAGAGTATGCAAGGTCTATGGGTTTCAGTACTGCAATACAGAACAGCCGGCGTTCGAAGACGTCAAGGGAGTTCATCGATGCAAAATTTGCCTGTTCCAGATATGGAACCAAGCGTGAGCATGACAAATCATTTAATCGGCCACGTAGTAGACAAGGAAGCAATCAGGATCCTGAGAATGCATCTGGCAGACGGTCATGCTCTAAGACAGATTGCAAAGCAAGCATGCATGTAAAGAGAAGGCCTGATGGAAAATGGATTATCCATAGATTTGAGAAAGAGCACAATCATGAACTATTACCTGCCCAAGCTGTCAGTGAACAAACTCGAAAGATGTATGCTGCCATGGCAAGACAATTTGCTGAGTACAAAAATGTGGTTGGCTTGAAGAATGATTCAAATAATCCCTTTGAGAAGGGCCGTAATATGGCTCTAGAAGCAGGAGAGGCAAACATTTTGTGCAAATTTTTCATGCAGATGCAGAGCATTAATTCAAATTTCTTTTATGCAATAGATATAGGCGAAGATCAACGTCTGAAAAATATGTTGTGGGTTGATGCCAAAACCAGGCATGACTACACCAATTTTTGTGATGTTGTCTCATTTGATACATCATATGTTAAAAACAAATATCGAATCCCCCTTGCGCTTTTCATTGGGGTCAACCAACACTATCAGTTCATGCTGCTTGGATGCGCTTTACTGTCTGATGAGACCACGGCTACTTATTCTTGGGTTATGCAAACATGGCTGACTGCAATGGGTGGACGAGTTCCAAAAGTTGTAATCACTGATAAGGATCAGTACTTAGAATCTGTGGTTTCACAGGTCTTTCCATCTTCTAAGCATTGTTTTTGTTTGTGGAATATAATGGGCAAGATTTCTGAAGCTCTTAATCAGGTGATTAAGCAACATGGTAATTTTATGGCTAAGTTTGAAAAGTGCATATATAGGTCTTGGACAGATGAGGAATTTGAGAAGAGATGGTTCAAAATGGTGAATAGGTTTGGACTCAAAGATTTTGATTGGATGCAGTCATTGTATGAAAGCCGTAAGCAATGGGTTCCAATCTATATGAGGGACGTTCTTTTAGCTGGAATGTCTACTCTTCAGCGATCTGAAAGTGTGAACTGTTCCTTTGACAAGTATGTGCATAGGAAGACCAGTATGCAAGAGTTTGTTAGACAGTATGAAACTATCATCCAAGATAGGTATGAAGAGGAAGCGAAAGGAGATTCTGATTCATGGAATAAGCCTCCAACACTAAGATCTCCATCGCCTTTCGAAAAGCATGTGTCAAGTATATACACACATGCAGTTTTCAAGAAATTCCAATCTGAGGTTTTGGGTGCAGTTGCTTGTATGCCTAAAAAAGAGGCACAAGAAGATATGATCATAACTTTTAGAGTTTCAGATTTTGAAAAGAGTATGGACTTTAATGTTACATATAACGAGTCAACAACTGAAGTATCGTGCATGTGTCGTCTGTTTGAATTCAAGGGGTTTCTCTGTAGACATGCAATGATTGTTCTTCAAATTTGTGGTCTTTCTGCCATTCCGTCTCAGTATATTCTAAAACGGTGGACGAAAGATGTGAAAAACAGGTGTTTAATATCAGAAGGTCCTGAGCAGGTGCAGTATAGGGTTCAAAGATACAATGATTTATGTCAGAGAGCGATTAAATTGGGTGAAGAAGGATCATTGTCTCAAGAGAGTTACAATATGGCACTTCGTGCACTTGAAGATGTTTATGCAAATTGTGTCTGTCTGAATAACTCCAATAAGAACCTTATAGAAGCCGGAACATCAACCGCTCCAGGTGTCCTACGGATTGAAGAGGATAATCAAAGCAGAAACATGCGCACAAATAAAAAAAAGAACCCTATGAAGAAAAGGAAGGTTATATATATATGTGTATTATATCTTTTGTCTATCCCTGTAATATTTTCTGTAAGGAACCCAATGAAGCCCCTGATCTTGTGTTAATTACGAATCCTTCTTATTGTAGGTGAATTCGGAGCAGGATATTATGACCGTTGGAGCCCAAGACAGCTTGCAGCAACTGGTTTGCTTTTTATCTAAATTTTACATTGCTTCCTTAATGCATAAAAAAGTTTATTGTTGGCATCACAAATTATTTAGTAGCATGCCAACGAAATCGAAAAGACAATAAGGAATAATGTTTTCTCACTCTCCCCTCAAGGGCATTCCGTGTTGTTAATTCTAACCGTAGTAACTAATCATTTATGAGCTAGTTAGCTATGCCACATGGAGTTGGTTGGTGATCGGTTACTTCTTTATTGTAGGACGGTGAACTGTAAGAGCATCTCCAACAGGTTCTTTATAATTTTTCTAAAATAGAGAACCAAAAGTTAAAATCTCTAAAAAAATTACATTCAACTCCAACAGATTCTCCATTTAGAGATTTTTACATAATTTATATTATTATAATGTTCTCTAATTTATCACCCCAATATACTTTTTTTTAACTTTATATAAAATAATAATAATTCAATTTCATTGGTGGGATTAAATAAAATAATAATTTCTCTCTCCCAACATCAAGTTTTAGAGAGTTCTCTAAATTTGGAGTTTTTTCATGTTTTCTCTATTTTAGAGAACATTATATAGAATCTCTTGGAGCAATATAGAGAACAAAACCTTCATTTTCTCTATTTTTTGAGAATCAGTTGGAGATGCTTTAATGAGTTAGAATGATGCAATGAGTGTTACGAGTCATATGCACTTCGGCACACTTATGCTATACCCTTTAATATGGGTATTTAGTAGAGAAAAGCTATAGAGCATGCAGTATAATGCATCTTTAGAGAGAATTTTATTTATTATTCTTTAAATAGGTAGAAGGGTGGTTATAAGGATAAGGATAACCATAAGAAGATAACATAAATGTGAAGAGTAAACTACTATGACTCTTATAACATATCTCAAGTTGGAGCATAGATGTTGATCATGCCCAACTAGTTGTTTCATACGATTTCCGTTTAAATGTATGCAAGATGGTGCTTCTTACAAATGATAAATAGGCAGAATAGATGGAGTGGTAGAAGTATCCACATAATGATTCCTCCCAAAATGACAATCAGCCTCAATTGTTTGGTCATCCCATGGAAAACTTGTTTGTTGGCTGTAAGGGTAGTAAAACATCATCGTTTTATCCACGAGTCTCAAAATCATGTAGCATTCATATGATCTATGCCATCTTACAGGAGATATCAGCCGCCACCCTAACCGTCAATCAGCATTGCTGCCACATACCAAAAACCAACACCTACCATCCCTTTGATACCGTGTAAGTTAATTTAGGATAAAAGGGAAATGTGTTTTTTAAGTTGCCAATACCTGCCATGCTAACAACCATTCAAAATCATTGTTGCATACCCTAAACTAATAAATGACTACATCTGCTTATAGTAAAGGGCATACAATGGATGTTTTAACAAAACTTTGACCTATAACTTGGATTCTGCACGAGTTCTCATGTGCTTACACACTACAATAAAATGGCATTGGCATCGCTGGATATACAGTTTCTTTTTGCTAAAATGGTTTGTAAAATGATGATTCATCATCACCCCCCTAATCGTTTCTAAGGGATGTACTTTTAACTACTTACCTCATAAATCATATTTGCTTTACTTTCTTTGATGGAGAAACCCCTTCTCCCTTGTATTTTCTTCTACATCCATGTTCATGAATCATGATATTACTTAAAAGTCTCTGGATTCGTCTGTTATATCCCTAATCTTCTTCTTGGTGGAATTAAACTTGATCGTCATTCAGTGATGTGTTTGTTCTTTTATGCCAAAACACAAATATCTTACCTCTGCCGATGTCACATTTCATTCCCTTATCAATTCTTCTTCTTTGGCTCCCCACATCAGTCACGTTGAATATTAAGGGGAAAACATTGTTGCAACTTATAACCTCAATACCAAAGAAGCAATCACCTAGGTTTTTTTCTCTGAAAGTTTTAATGCTGTAATGCTTTTAAAATTGCCTTAACGAAGATGCTGTCAACCTTAAATACCAGAACTGATCCTCTTCTCCTATTTCTTCTTGAAGAAAGATAGAACCATTATAAGAACTTCATGTCATCTCAAAATTTTCCATGTCCCAAGACAAAGGAACTAACCAAACTTGTGGGGACCGCTTTAAGCCGTGTAAAGATTTCTATGATCGCATACTTTAGATGCTTCCTCTGAACTACATTTTGAGGTTGCTTCATATAAATGTTCGCTGCAAGAACTTTATTGAGCATTAATTATTGATGTGTGGCTGACAAACTCGAGTGAACTTCACGATGAGACTAAAAGTTTCATCATAGTTCTCTCTATAAGTTCATATGTGGCCCTTGGTTGCCACTGAGCCTTCAGACATGCAATGCCATCAGTATTTATTTTCACGACCTCTAACCATTTATGACCAAGAAAAAAAATTGAGCAGGAAAGTCAAGAAGCTCTCATGTCTCATTGTCCACGTGAAGAGATTTTCTCATGTTTAATCCACTTCCATCCACGATGTGTGAAGCTAGTTCTAGGATATGAACTATCAATAGTTGAAATAGAAACATAATGGCTAGAGGAAAAGTGAGCATGTGAGACATTTTACATGAAACAATCAAGTGCGTGGATGGGTTGCAAACATAAGTTAATCTTTCATTAATTTGGGCAATATGAATAAAGGTGTGGGAGACAGACTTGAAGATAAAGTTTTAAGTTTCTAGAGCTCAATACTCCTCAAAGTGTGCTGCATGATTAGTAGTATGTGAGATTGTCTCACCATTTTGTATTCCAACTGTTCTAAAAGTCGTTTAGGGCTGCTTGATTGGTCACCTAGGTGTCAAGCACTCTCATTAAGTAACTAGTAAGTAGTTCAAAAGTTAAGTTAGAGCATGAGGTTCTTATAAGAACCTACTTTTGTACTTTTTGTTGCCACATCACTTCCAACTCATCAAATTAAGAACTTATAGAAAAGTCTGCAATGGTAGTTCTTATAAGAACCTTTTTGTGGGTCTCATGTATTTTTTCAACATCTATAATTATTAATATATTTATAAATAATATATAAAAGAACTTGCAAATTGTCGCTTCACACCAACTTCAAGGTAAGAACCAAGGTTCTTGTACAAGAACTCAAAAGGGGGTGAGGTTCTTATAAGAATTCTCCACAATGTTGGTTCTTGTAAGAAGCTACATTTTTTGCTTATAAGAAGCTACACCTTGCACTGGAGATGCTCTTAGAGTTAAGCAGGATTGGCATGGTTAGGGTGATTATTTCGGATTTATTTTATTGACCAGGTTAATTTATTAACCAGTCTCGTAACTGTTAGCCTGATTAAAAGTAGTTCAACCGAAATAAAAAATATTTCTGCCGCAGCTTCTATCTTTGTTGACCAATTACTTTGAGCCTAACTGAAAGCAATCATGCATATGGTTATATGCCTAAAAGCATATGTGGGACTTCGTGGTTACTGCCCTAATTCGATAGAAGTCAAACAATGAGGGCCATAGCTGTTCACAAAACGTGGCATGGGACAGGTTCATATTTGCATAAGCGATCAGTGAACCTATCTACTAGGCAGCTCTAATATCCCATTCAGGATCGACATCCCCCTCAAGCAGTTCAGAAGATTCATCCCTCATGAAATCGGTATTGAAAGTGGAACAACGAAATTTGTCATTTAAGGGAGCAATTTTGTCTTAGAGCAACATAGTATCGATATTGCCTTCATATGGTTATTTATTTTAAATTAAATGTATTTTATATATTAAAAGCAACTTAATCTGTTTGCTTAAGCATCCGCCTAATCCATGCTTAGGCATTTAGAAAGCAATTATATTAGAAGAAATATAGTATCTTATTTATCGCCTTAACACTCTTGAGAAAACCTTGTTAGGACAGAAGGCTAGGTTTTTGCAGAGATACTAATATCTAGCGGATGAGAATTGCAGATTGTCGGTAAAATCGATGGGGAGGGGAGTGGTCGAGAATGGGAAGGGGAAAGGATTGAAGTGGGAGGGAAGTGGATTGAGGGTGTGTTGCGGCGAAGGAGGCAGGGGGGGGGGGCAAAAAGTTGAGGGGTAGTAGAAATTTTACTCTAAGAAGGGTGACGTCATTGAAAACAATATGTTTTTTAAGAAGCAAGTTAAAAGTGCCTATATACTTGGAATAACCAACAAAGATGCTATTGTTTCTATTACCAGATAATTTCGTAAGTACATAAGGTGTACAACTAAATGTTTTGGGATTCACATTAACTAAAGAAGCATTGGGAAAAAGAAACATGATCGGAAATCTGCCATTTCGAAATTGTTGAGGGCATACGACTAATAAGATAGTTGGCAACCTGTATCTGTGTATGAACCCAATCTTTATCTGTGTTTGTGTGTGTGTGTGTGTATATATATATTATGGTAGATATGTGAATGAACCCAATCTATATATACACAGAGAGAGAATCAGGATTAGTTTTCTGCTGCCAACTAGCTTGAAGAATACCGAAACAAGATGCATGGAGATAGTACATACATTCTATCTATTAATACTCTCAAAGCGCACTTCCATAACTCATTTTTACATCTTTAAGATTTTTATTTCTGGGTAAATTAATCCTCTATCCTCACTTTTACAGGACAAGTTAAGTTCACGTTCAGTAACTCTAGATGGTTATTTTGGCCCGCAACAAAGTATGCAAGGAATGGTAAGGATTCATTTAAAAAACGAGCCATATTCATAAAATCTTTTGATTTTGTAGTTAGATATTTTTCGGTGGTTTATTCAGGTTCAGCTTAACTTGATGGCACCGTCAAGAGAAAATTATTATGGAAATCAACAAGCTATTCAGGGGCTGGTACACACCATTTCATATCATAATTATTATTTAGCTTCGATATTTTATTTAATTTTTCTATATCATATTTCAGTCGAATTCGCCAATAGCTCATTAAAATATAAGTTTTGTTTTCTATAGGGACAGTTGAATTCAATAGCACCAAATCATGAGAGCTATTATGGCGCTCAGCCGACCCTTCATGGCCTGGTACGTTATTCATTCTCATGTGATTATTTGAGACAAATCCTGATCTATATAAAGAGCAGTCCAGAGTTCTTCCTTGCAGGGACAGATGGACTTCTTTCGAACACCAGGTTTCACATATGGCATTCGGGTTAGTGTCTCAGACCATTTTTGTGGCATTAATCGTTCAGTTATATGCCATCATCAAGTACACAAAACAAATAACTTCCGATTCTTTTCCCTTTGTTAGGAGGAACCCAATGTGCGGACCACCCAATTGCATGACGATGGATCAAGACATGCATGAACTTATTGTCTTCTGATCTTCTCCAACCGTTTTATCTGAATAGCGCAACCACGAGCAACCGGTAAACTTGTTCATTTGACAAGGAGATAATACTTTTGCGGTTTGACGGGGTACATGGGAATTTACCATTTTGCCCTGTGGACCAAAAGAATCACTGCGGAAAGCTTGAAAGGTAGAGACTTTACACGACTTCATCTTACATGTGTTATGGAGACCGGGTAGGAGCTGTTATTTTGCGAAATTTGTTGTATCATTTGTATCAACGGCAAGGTTCAGTTGAAATCACAAGTTAGGATCAGTATATGTAGTAAACATGTGTATCCTGTTGTAAAAAGGTGTTGTGTATTGAAATAATTCAAGATGTGTATGTTCCTCGAAACTTGTACTTTGCGTATATCTTACCCCTCCCGAATTCTAATCAGATCTTCAAAAAAGTGGTTCTAAAAACCACTGTTTTTATGTATATTTCATTCTTCGACTCTTTTCAAGTTGCATATGAAGTGAACTTATTAAGGATTCTTATAGGACTGGTCTATTGGCCAATCAGCGAGCACCACATGGCGTTGATTTAAAAAATAATTGGTCATAACTGGATAACTTTACTGGACCGACGATGGTTCCATGGACCTGTCATTAAAAAAATTTGATAAAGACCAGGGGTTATAATAAATCCTTAAACCAATCCATCCTTAGACCAATCCTGGTTCTAGTAATGGGTTTGTTTGACTGTTATTGAATGGTTTAATACAAAATGATTAAGCAGTCAGAATAATTAAGAGACTCTTATAATATAATGTAAATAAAATGTAATTGTTTGTTAATTGTTAAGAGTAGAATTAAGATGCTGAATGGTTAAAGAAGGCCCAAGATACAAAATCATTAAGAGGACAAGACTTTTTTTTTGCCAAACAAGATTCATCCCTTAAGGGTTCAGAGACCGTCTCTTAATGAAACTATTAAGAGGTAAACAAACAACCCCATATGTTAACATGTTAACATTCAGGAGAAAACCACAAATAAATGAAAAATGGAGGGATAACCATTCATCTAGACAGTATACACATATACATACAAGTAAATGAAGATGTTTTTTGATTTTGTAGCGTCCCTTTTTGAAGTTATTTGTAAATTGGGCAGCACAGTTTCCAAAGAACTTGAACCCAAAACAGCAGCAATGAGGTTAAACTAAGATCATACAGACTTGCAGAACCTGTACATGCATGCAGAGAAATAAAAGCTTATTTGAAAGACTTACACCTTCCAACCCCCCTTCCCAACCCACAATACACCAAATATCCAAACCAACCATAACCCAAACATGGGAAACAAGTACACACAGTCTTTATAATTTCTAAGGTTCATAACCATCCATCACAAATCTTCCGCCGCCGTAAACCACCCTTCAATGGCGGATGACGATGCAATTGAGATTCAACCATCACCATAAACCACCGTCTTTCACATATAGATGAAGCACGGCATATGCATGGCCTTGACTCCGATTTCTGTACATATAGCAGACACTTTAAAAAAGGCCATCTGTGCGCTGATTGATTTTGCCATAATTAGCACAACACCATTCTCCGTCACCCTCTTACTGATTCAGGAGTCACCTGACCACCGCTTCCCTTATGACCACTGAATCCAGCAACATGCATCGACCTCTGAGAGAAGTCGACTAACATCTTCCTCTGATTATCATCTGTATGGGGTAGACTAGCACGAAGAAGTTCCACCGGCATTTCTCTACTAATAGCCTTTGCAGCTTCAGAAAAGACGATCTCTGTGCTTGGCGGAATCTGTGCATACATAGCTTGCACCAGACTATCGTACTTGCTTAAACAGTACTTGGTTAAAAGGCCGAAAAACGCATCAAATGAAGCCTGCCAAAGTGTTGGATTTTGCAAACTGGAGTTAACACCGGTTAACAGCTGCGTAGCTCTTTCGAGAACAGATTTTAGGATGACGGAAGCACCATCGCCAGCCGGACTTCCGAGAGGACGAAGTGGTGGTTGTTCTGGAGAACAAACCACGGCTGCAAGACAAGCACTCAGGGAATTGAGATCCATTGCACTGATGCATAACGAGACTATCTTCGCTAGCGTAGTAATGGTCTCAGACGCTCCGGGTTCGGAAGGAAGGCCGCCAAATAAAAATCTCAAGTGACGGAAAATGGTCATGCATACGATTCGTGCAAGCTCGCTGCTTGGGGAGAGAAGTTGAAGATATCTAGACATGAGTTTACGACCCTTGGGGAGAGATGCTACTCGTAAGAACACGATATCGTCTTTAGGAGCCAATCCAGCGGAGGTGTTGGAACTTACTCCAAGTGGATCAACAAGCTGAAGTGATGCTGCCAAGCCTTCTAAGAGAATCTGCCGCCTCTGCCTCATCTGAGAACCACCATCTTGCGGCAGCGTAGATTTCAGGAGGCGATCTATGTCATCCACATCAAGAAGTAGGCAAAGGCCATCCTCGATCATGATTCTAGCGGCAAGCATTGGCTCTTGTTCCAAGGGTTTCTCAGATCTTTTCTGTTCAGAACCACCATCACCAGAACCAGATGGAGGATCAACTTCAAGAAGGGGTTCAGGCCTACGAATGAGAGAGAATGAAATCCTTCCATGAGAATCAACGTTAATATGGGGCTGTGAATCAGAACCGCTACGATTCCGGAGTGGAGAATCTCTCAGATGAGCGGGCCAGAAACGGTTTTTGGACCTTGACTCAGAAGAATTCTTGGCAAGACGAGCTTGGTGATAATAATCGTTTATATATGGATCATTGCTATGTGTTGCAGCATGCGGCATATTAAGAATGCCCTCAATCTCTTCAGATGTCATATATTTGGATCTGAACTGTATACGGCATTTATCACTCTTCTGATTGCTGCTATCAGAGCCCTGACGGGAAAGACGTGCACTATGTTTACTCTTTTGTGACGATCTCTGATCTCTAACATCAGCAACTCCATATTTACTTAAATGTAGTGGATGAGAAGGGAGGGTATCATATAAGTATGGCTGGAGTGCAAAAGGATTGAACGAAGGCTGTCGTAGAGAATGTGGCAACATAAAATGCGGGGATAAGAACCCATTTTGAAGCAACTTCTGTTGAAAACTATTCGTTAATAGCCCAGCGTGATCCACATGTAAAGTATGGTTATCCCATTGGTTTTGTGGCTGAGTGTATTGGGTTAAGCCAGGATGGACTATTTGGGTTCGGTTTCCACTATAACGAGATCCATGAGGGATGCCACCTAAAAGCAGATTGGAGCTATTTGATAAAGGTGAGAGGTTTGGCTCTGAAAAGGGCATCTGGGGACTACCAATGCCAGATGAAAGATTGAGATGTGAACGTTGCCGTGGTGAGGGTAGATTATTATGGCCGCCACCAGGAGAAAACGAAGGCAGAGACGAGCTTGGTACCAGTACAGGTTCAGCGAAGAACTGGTGCTGCTCCTGAGGGTATGATGACGCTCTGTACAATGGCTTAGAATCAGTGAGATGAGACTGTGAAGACCATCTCCTGCTTCCCTGACAGCTTTCGGTGTCGGAGATATGTTGATCTAACCACTCCGGTAGATCTCTATCCTGTACCCAGTCAGATGCAGATGAACCTGCAAATAGTTTGTTAATGAACTATAGTCAATGTGTACCTTAAAAACAAGGACACATACGTAAAACAAATTAAACAACACATTCTCGTAAGTATTGCCCTATATGCTCTGCTTTAAAGAACCTAAAGGAAACCGTAATGTAATATTTACATTCAAGATTCAAATAAATATGTTGGTCCGAATTCCGAAAGTATCTTCCTTCAGATTCCAAATCAACTCTGTTATGTTTTTGTTTGAATAGGTTTAAAGCAGATAAGAGAAACTGCCCAAAAATTTCATCTTCCTTAGGAAGTGGACTCGAACTTTGAACAAGAATTACTTCAACAATCAATTACTCACATTTAATGCAAGGATGTAAAGGATTCAATGTCATGCCACATAGGGAACTTCTACGGACAAGGACATAAAAGAAACGTTAACAGCACTCTTATATCTTCACTTTTTAATGACTTTCATGTTTTTATACGACTTTAACAAGAACAAAAATGACTGATTGCCATATATGCACAACAGAATGCAAAATTCATAGAAATGTTGTTCTGAGAATAAAAATCGAAGACCTTATTATTCAACAGTAAAAAGCGTCTGAATGCCCTAAACAGTATATTAGACTCCACACAAGTATTTCTCAAACACCTATAATGAGATGATGAAAATTTGGTTAGATATGTACTCACTTTCTCTTGAAATAGATCCCGATCCTCGATCACCAATAACTCCAGGATGCCTAGGTCCACTAACAGATCTGTTTATCTGTAAAAAACAATAGTACAACACACAATTAGTTTATTTTGCTCAGACTACAGCAATCTTTACAAAGAGACAAATGAAACAATGGTCATAAGAGATAACAAAGAGACATTGTTGGCTTGACAGTATCTCGGCTCTATGGATGAAATCACAACTATTCTATCTGGAGCAAAAATTTAAAATAAGCCCTACGCATCATCACACCTGACTTCTAAAAACAAGCCCAAAAATCAGTCTTTCCCATACAGTCACACTTTATAAAGCTGATATGGGCACGTCATCAGATGGCATTATAAATGGATGACAATGAAATAGTCAGCGCTAAATATCAATTTCTTTATGGTGCTATCTGCTTAGCTTCACTAGAAGGTCAATCATGGTTGAAACTGTCAGATTGTTACCTCCAGGCACAGCTAGCATTTGTTCGTTCATGCAACAAAAGGGGGGAGGAGGGATGTTCCATTAAATCCTTAGCAAAACAAACGCAAACCAAGCACCCACGGCGAGGTGATCCACGAGAGGAAAGACTCTCAAAGAAGTCGACCAAGTTAAGAACCACTGTGAAAAGTCAAACAGGTGTCCAATAAAGTTGCAAAATCCATCTCAACCAAGTGCGCTTGTCACGTGGACATCCACCTTTTCAGATTAGAGAAATAAGACGCACATGATCATAGGTCTAATATTTCAAAATATTTTTAATCTGGGTAGAGAAATCACCCTAATTTTTCATGCAGGCAACCTATTCCAACATTTGCTCCAAGACCTCCTATTCGAATGAGAAAAAAATACAAAAATAGAAGCAGAGGAGCATTCTAAAATGATGATAAGCTTGTTAGGTTTTGATTGATTTTGACAACACTAACAATGATGCTATCACACACTTAATGAAGTCAAAGGTTCAGGTGGGATGTATAGTTGAAGCTCTAAATCAAGCATGACTTAACCTAATCAGAAAAAGGACCAGCTAATCACTTAGAGGAATTGGAAACAAATACGGACCGTATTAGTATGATTAGAAGGATGTTAATCAGGAAAAAGAAGATGATGAAAAGAGATGCGGTTAGGTTGATTCCTTCCTTAGTTTTGTAAAACGCATGCCAACAAAATAACAACAAAGAATGCAATTAGTAGTTCAGGTGGGATGTATAGTTACCAAGAGACTTGAAGTTTTAAAGCTTAAGCATGGCTTAACCTAATCCTGAAAGGATCAGTATATCACTTTGAGGAATTGGAAGCATATAAGGACCCTATTAGTATGGTTTAAATAATGTTAATCACAAAGAAAATGATGAGGAACAAAGAGGCGATCAGCCTGATTCCTTACTTTGTCTTGTAAAATTCATGCCGACATGACAAAGAAGAATACAACTAGTGTTTATCTCAATGAATCACTTCTTTACACCCATTCTGCATGTGAGCTCTCAACAAACTTTCTTCACGCCTTATCTTCTAATAATTTTTAAGTTGGTATCTACTATCTAGCCATCCCGATTAATCTTCAAGTCATGGATTGATAAAAGTCCTTACGATTGCTATTACGAAGAGGGATAAGAGATTGAGGGCTTTTTAAGTATTTTCCTTTATATTGATAAAGCTGTTGCACCTCATGCAAAAAGACTTGTGCCTTAGCCGATGAAGATCCTAAGCTTGCACCTCGCTGTGTCTTGAAGTTCCAGGTTTGGTTGTCTAGCTCTTCCAAGAAGCCCAAGCAACCAAAGACGATGGACCATATGTTTTGTTCATGACTCTCCAGAACTAGTTGTGCAAGGTCAAAGGCAAAACGTGGACAAACGGGAAGAATGTGCAACAAAGGAGATGAGGAATTGGATTTTGTATCACAATAGCAACATGGATGCATGATGTGGGACTTCAATGTTAACGTTGTTAATTGGGAAAGTTGTGAGATTATGATGTCATTGGTTAGCATGTTCCGACAATGAAGCCATGTGTCGTCATATAATCATGCAAGAGTTTTGTTGCTAAAGAAACAAGTTGAATATACAAAAAAGGTCATGAAATTAGGCCGAGTAGGAAAACAAATGGTTGCTGACTTACGCGCAATGGGCAAAAAGATATAAGTGAAAGGCCTTCAAATACTTTTCGTTAACAATCCCAATGATAAAAAAGGCAAAACAAATGTCTGACGTGATAAGTATATATAATGAGAAGGTCGAGCCATCAAATGTTGTTCAAGCACTAAACAGCAGTGCATCAAAATTCAAAAACCAATTGATAGGTAAGCTAAGATGGTTAAAAACATCTGTTTTTGCTTTTTTATCGTCTTTATGTCTCATACTGTCCATATCGTTCTTTCTTAATAGGCAAGTTCTTGGAAGCAGAATGCCCACACATCTTTTAAACACCTTGTGTGTCCCACTGTGTGGGTTTAATTCTCGAAGATATATTTAAAATTAAAGCATTAAAAAGAAATTTCCCAGGTGGTTTCTCTGGATTAACAAAATCACATCCAAGTTGAGAAAACTCGATTGATGAACACAAGCTGGAAAGGGTAAATTATGCTAGCTTCATCTTTTCAAGCTTTTATTCAGCTATTAGTTGTTAATCAAAGCAGTGGGGACACTAACACCTAAGTGGGTACTTAAGTAACCTTCACCAATATGAGTGATGTTTGACCCCCAAGTGGAAGCTTAAGCAACCCTAATGATTATATAAAAAACAAGCCTGTAAATCTGTAAAATCACATTGCATAGACGAGTCAGATGTGCATGCTGAAATTCAGCTGAATCATGTGAAGATTTACTCGCATGCTATTTACCACTATCTACATGACTAAGTTTGTTATGGCACCAAAATAACATGTTCAACAAAGCCAGGTATCCTGTTTTACTAAGCTAAAGGCCACTTGACAAGAATATGCCAAAATCTACTAAAGGGCGGGGGCTGACTTCACTACTTGTATAGTTGCATATTGAATTGACAATAATATTTTTCATGAGAATGCATGCACATTAGATGGGTGTCCCTGAATTAGAGCTAGTTCTGGATAGAAGTAATCCAGTAACTAGATTGCTTATAGTTATAGCATTTCAATAGATTTTCTTCTTTTAGCCTGAAGTGGCTATCCTAGTGGTGAATCCGCATGGGCCTTATGTCCACTGTGGCATGAGGACACAGGTTAGATTCACACTAAGTGCTATTTGTTCTTTTGAGAGCCATCCCATTGGCCAGACAGCCTAAATTTTGCCCATGGTGGGGGCACTTTGCATGAAGCGACAATTTGGCCAAACGTGTTAGATACCATGGCTTTAAGAAAAAACAATTTCTTACTTTGAGGATCAAACCAAACCAAACATACCTGGTATTATATCCCACTCAAAAATAAGGTATGGGGTAGGATGTACGCACACCTTTCCTCTACGGCATGGTTTTAAGAAGAAAAAAAAATTCTTACATCCTTGTCCTCAAATATTTTATTTTATGTTTGCACGCTATGACTTCTTGACATTTAAAATGAACCAACGATAACATCGGTAGTATTTTATTTGAACTTTTTCCTTAAAAGGGTCAAAATCATTTTTTATTGATTAATAAGGCCCAGGGGGATGTGGTGGAATATCCCATCAGCCCTGGGTTCAATTCCAGGTGTGTGGCCACTGAGTTTATCAGGACTGATGTCGTACAGTCGCAATTTGCCGGGATTAGTATGGGCATACCCCGGGATACCCTTCCAAAAAAAGAATAAGTACTGTGACATGATGCTACAAGCCTTCGACCAACCAAGGGCAGTAACCATGCTACTGATACTTTCTGATATATGCAATCCTGTTGCATTAATATTGAAATAAAAGGGGACTCTACTTTTATCTAATTTGATCAGCTCAACACACACAGACACACACACTAAGAAGCTAGAATGAAACCTCTAGGGTTCATATCGTATTTAACCTAAGTCAAAATGTAAGAACCAAACCACAACCTAAGAATTACTGCAAACAAATTTTGCATGTAGAAGGAAGCTGACCTTTGAAAATATAGTTGACAGATCATCTAACTCTGATTGGGATCCTGCACCTGGTTCCTGTCAGCAATAGAAATAAAATTTAGAACAATGAGATATTATGTCCTCATATAAGTCTTCGAATCTGCATTAATGAAGTTGACAAAAAGCTATCATAAATACTTCTAGACGTCCAAAACATTGATGAACAAGTAAAACAACAATCATTTTTTATGCTCAATATGACATCCCAAGCAATTATATTTCAAACCAACAATCATATAGTTTTTTTCCTTTAGCACACTTTATCCTGAACACCTTACATCTCTTTTCATTTTTTCCAACTTTATTGTTCTTTTGTTTTGGTCTTCTTTTATTTTGTTGCTTTATATTTTTATGTTATTGTTTATTCTAATTTTTTGAAATTCTACTTGGGTTTTAATTTGTACAAATATTTAGGATTTGTTTTTGTCTTTTATTCTATTTGACCCGACTCTGTTAAATCGTTTCCTCCATGGGGTATGTATCATATTCTAATTTACCATATGTGAATATTAAAAATTATTTGTGCACGATTATTTTATGTTGACATAACAATTGCAAATAAGTATTATCCTCGTAATGCCATAATATATACCAACATTTGAAATTTATGATATCAATATCATAATACCACATGTTGGTTAGGCAGTTAGCTTTGTGTTGTTATTGTTATCAAATTATAGTGTGATAATAATATTAAATATTTATGTTTCACATTTTCACTATTACCAAACAGAAAACATATTCTGATATTAAGGTTATTGAACATTTATCGTTCATTATTACCAACAACTACCAATTATAAACTAAATAAGTTCAACATTTTCAAAATCTCCAAGAAAACGTATTCCTTTTCCATTAACATCACAGTTCATTTTCAGAAGAAAAACATGAACACATTACGAAAATTAAAATATGCACTTAGAAATCTATGATTTAGTTTTGAATTTAAGCTCAAATATAAATTCGACTAGCATTCAGAATACAACTCATGCCAAGCAAACAAAATTTGAGTATTGAAACTTTTTCAGAACAAAATATGAGTATAGTAACTAAAAGAATCAGTGAAAGCTAAAGCCACGTCCAAGCTATAGTATTAATCAAACAAGCCTAACTCACTAACCTCGTTGTTCAACTCATTTACAAACTACTCCGGAGTTGTAAAATGAACGGGATAAAGTTTCAAAAGATTTTAGCAGTGAAAAAAAAATCACAATTTATGACTAACAACTAACAAGCACCATAAAAATTAGCAAGTTTTCTCCTCCTCTGGAATTTTACCTCTTCTCGGTCAAACAAATGGTACTCATCATCAGCAATTCCAGTTGAAGGATTATCATCATCTTCTTCTAAACACCCAAACTCAGCCTTGTCCATAGAATGTCGACCAAAAAAAGCATATTGTGAAGCATCAAAGAGTTTGCCATCTGCCCAACAATTTAGAAACGAATCAGGCACGGAAAGCAAAAATTTGAAAGAACAAAATAGAGAATGAAGAGCAATAACTCTTGCACGTTATAAAGCAAGCTCCTGAGAGCAAGATCACACACGCGCATACAAACAGGGTGCATAAGATCACTGCTAATTTATCAATTTTGAAGGTAAAGGGCGATACATTCCATAGTTTTTCTTCCTCGACCAACACAGTTTCTTATCAATTTTGAAGGTAAAGGATAACAAATTCGACATCCAATCGTCAAATGTAGACTTCTGTAAGGTACTAATAAATCATTCAAACCAACAGATGACTACATCTGAGATATCACCTCCACCACATAAATTTCAAAACGAATTCACCTCAAATCATAATTATTATTTAAACAAACACCCTAAAAATCAAACACGATAAACAGCAACAACCGACCCACAAACAACAAAACACACAACACTGTTATTAATACAAAAAAGAATCAGCTCACCTGAGAAAGAACGCGTATTGATGCTACTCAAGTCTTTGCTATCAGATCTCTCCATGACCACAATAAGGTCTCCAAACTCGTAACGGCGAATATTAGGGTTTGGAAGGAGAAAGGGGTGTCCTTATTGCGACTTCCTTTCTTCGGTGGTGTTGCGTAATGGATTGAATTGAATAAGTGAAAGTAGGAATCCCACCGCGTATTAGAGCGCCATGTCGATTGTTGTTTATTGAATGAAATTGCGTCTGGAGTTGACGTTCTTCTACCACACCACACCTTGCGCCTCAATAAAGTGTGTTTTTGACTGCATTTGTTACAGTGGAATCAAGGTCTTAAAGCAATCATTCGGTAACCCACAAAAATGGATTCTAGATTAAGTAAATTACATATTTAGTCCTTGTAATATTGTTTCAGCTGTAAATTTAGTCCAAACTTTTTATATTTTGTATTTTTAGTCCAAAACTTTTTTACTTTTTGTATTTCTAGTCCAATATTTTATTTTATTTGTATTGTTAGTCCATGTATTTTTATTTTTTCTATTTTCAATACAAGTATTTTTATTTTTTGTAGTTTTGGTCCAAACTTCCTTATCTTCATCTTCTATCTTGAGTTTTTTGTTTGGTTCGCATAATATAACTTCTGAATTGAAATTTAAATCTATAATGTCTTATAAATTATTTAGGCAACACTTTTAAAGCCTGAAAGTACATTTATGAATAATTTAGTACGTATCACTAATGTACTAAGGAGTCGTTTGGTTTGATGGAATGGTTTTGAGATATTTGGATTTTATGGAAAATTTTGGAATTGGATTTGGAAGGATCCGGAATCTTTGGGGTGTTTGGGTGATGGATTCGGAATGGAATGAAATTCTATTTTTATAAATAATTTATAAAAATAATTAAAATATCGCTTATTAATGAATTATTAGAAAACAAGTGTTTTAAATATATTTTAAAACACTGTTATATAGAAATGAAATCCCAACCACCCCCGTAGGATTTAAAAATTCTATTTTTAAGGGATTTCAGATAAATTCTAAGGGTCTGTTTGGTTTGCATGATTGTTTTTGAATGATTTGGATTTTATGGAGGGATTTGGATTGGAATGGATTTGAAATCATTGGTTGTTTCGTTTGTAAAATTTAGAATGAAATTGGATTTCATTGTTTATAAATAATTTATAGAAAAAGTTATAAATAATTATAAAAATAATTAAGTTACATTTCTATTGATCAATTATTACAAAACAAATGTTTTTAACATTTTCTAAAATCTTATTGCATACAATCCTACCAAATCCCGAGCACTTCCTAGGGATTTCAAAATTCTATGTTTGAAGGATTTCAATTAAATGCTAGGATTTCAAATCCGGACAATCCAACAAACCAAACATGGGATTGGTACGGATTTGAAATACAAATTCCTCCAAATCAATTCCATTCCTTCAAACCAAACAGGGCCTAATATTTTAAATCCGAACAATCCAACAAACCAAACATAAATTTGAAATCCAAATTCATTTCATTCGTGCAAACCAAACGCAACTTAAAGTTACCATCTCTTGACAATTTTTTTTGCTAAAAATGTGTCTCACATTGAGTAAACTACATGCATAGAAAAATGAGTCAAAAGCTTTTGCTTCAAAACACCTCAATTAGATGCAATTTTATATATATTCATTTTTTTATTTTTTTTAATTAACCTGGATATCCAACCCGCTATGTGATCCGACTAATTCCAAGACGACCACTTGCTTTGCAGATAGTCCGGAATCACTGTCTTTGAACCTCCGTGGCCACAAAGGGATTTTTATTTCTCCTTGGATTTGAACATGAGACCTTCTGGTATTTTTGATCTTTGGAGCCAAACTTAAACTAATCAGACACCACTCATGTGGTTATATTTTTTCTTTATGTTCTCTTGACATAGTATGTAGAAATGTGAATCAATAGCTTACTTGCATTTTTTTCTCTTGGTTCCATTCCTTTGCATTTCAATATACATGCCTAAATGTTTTCAGTTGTTTATGATAATACTTATATCTGGTATTGAATTTTTATGGGTATTTTCATTGTAAATCAGAGGTTGCCATGTGTTGTTTTACTTGAGAGCTTGAGGTCAATAATCTTGCATTCTCGTATCTTGAATTAAACAAGTATCGAGAAAGCATAAAGCCATTAATCAAATGACAGGTTACCCATGAAATGAATTTGTAGATTTGATAATGGAGTTGGTTTGCACATCTCTTCGTTACTATGCATCAAGTATGTGTAGCAAAACTAATATTGATAGACTATAACGTTACCTTATAACTAGAGGTATTAATGAGTTGAGTTGATCGGGTTGAAAATATTTGAACAATCCAAATCAATGCCTGCTGTTTGGAAGGAAAAATAAAAACCAACCCAGACCCTATGGGTTGATTGGGTTAGTCGGGTTGGTTGGATTGATACTTTGTTACATTAAAATATTATTCTAACCTTTAATATGTTATTTTTATACTCATAATTTATTTTTTATCACCATCCATTTAGTATAGCTTATCCATATTTCTTAAATATATCATATTCAATTAATTTTCTTAATTTACATATACATGTTCACAGTTACTGAACATATATATGAATGAGTTATATATAGATGAAGAATATATTAAAAATGTATGTATATATATACACATACGAAGAGCGTACATGTAATTATCTGATGTATATATTAATATAAACTCAACAATCATATTAAATCCAAAAAATAAAAATAATTCAATATCAACTTAATACCTACAGTTTTAAAAAATTTACAACTCAATTAGACATCGGGTTGGGTTATTTCGCATTGAATGAGCATCGGGTTGGGTTGGGTTCAAATAACAGTAATTCAATATCAACTTAATACCTACAGTTTTAAAAAATTTACAACTCGATTAGACATCGGGTTGGGTTATTTCGCATTGAATGAGGTTTGGTTGATCTGGTTGGTCAGATTTTTGAACACCCCTACCTATAACGATAAATTTATGATTGTTTGTTCGTTTATAAAGACTCTTTAAAAATGGACTAGAAAACTATTCGCACAATGCATCGAGACACATCTCGATTTTAATGTTTTATTTTATTATTTGTCTATGTGGATGTTATAATACGATTTTATGTGTTTTTTTTAATATATCATAAAAAATTGAAAAAAAAAATATATCAATGTTTAATATCAAATCAACTATTTAAAAATTTTCATTTTTTTATGTAATTTCTTTAATTTTTTTATTATAATTTAATTTATGTTCAATAATGAAGTAATTTATTTTGGTTTAATATTATAAATTTTATAAATATAATAATTAAGTATTCTGTTAGAATTCAATGATTATCTTAATTATATTTTATATTTTTTATATTTAAAATGAGACGTTTATCCTGCATTTGATTATGTTTATATGCAGTTATTTACACGAATTTAGATATGAAACTTTAATAAGTTGTACTTACGTACAATCTACTTGCAATCTTGAGTTTTAAGTAATATGCATTAATAAACAGTACTACTTTACGCATAAAAAGTGATTTTTAAGAGTTTTTGTCAAATGTTTTATAATATAGTATAAATTATAAGTAATGATAAAACTATTTAAATTATTATTTATTATTTAAATGGTAACAATGATAAACCTAGTAATAATACTAATGATATTATTAATAATATTATCGATAGTGTTATTGTATACATTAAAAATGATAATAATAACAATTGTTTCATCAAAAAAATGATTATTTACGTGGTATTTTTGGTTTTTTTTTTAATAAAAATATGAATGAATAACATCGGAATTTATTATCCCCATTTTGTCAACCAAACAAACCGACGAAATTGAGTAGAAATAACTCTGAAATTAATAAATTCAACATTTTAAATAATTAAACATTTTTACTACCTAAAATGTTAATTCGTTGAATGTTTTAAATATATACGTTCTATAAAAAGAGTTATTTGGATTCGCAATTCTCGTCACAGATGTTTATCGTCAATAATTTTTATAAACACGAGCTTTTGGATCGAATTTTGATTCCTCTATGATTTATCTGTGGTATGCTTTCCAACAAAACAAATTCTTGGAGTTTGGAAATGGTACACATCTCGACAACGATTCAAGGTTTATTTATTTCCAGACTTTTTGACATGTATTGATAACAGTTTTCCAACACATAATTGAACGTATGGGCCCATAAAACAATTTGAATTATTTGTCGGTCATCAAAACATGTGCGATTGTCAACTGCAATTACTCCGATACAACTTAAAATTAAACCATATACTTGCACCAATATATATATATATATATACACACACACATATGGTTGGGTTCCGATGAGAAGCAGGGTTAAAGTGAGAAGCGTAATAAATCTCACCTTAACCCAACTTCTCACTGTAACCCAACCATGTATGTGTATATAAATATATACACACACACACACATATGCTTGGGTTCCAATGAGAAGCATAAGAAGGGATCTTCCCTTTTGGATGCACATTAAGATGGGATGCATCAGATCAATCCCCGTATCAAGAGTTTGAGATTAAAGGTAATCAATGGTCCAAATCTTTTCTTACGTTTATCACCTTAACTCTCATCCTAACACGATTATTCGCCTATATGTGTGTGTGTGTGTTTCTAATTATTTAGTTTGTCTGCATGCTGATGGTCGTTTATATCTGACATAACCGATATCGAGTCAATCTACTCTATTTCCATTTTTACCAATATAAAGACTTTGTTGTATACGTTCGGTTTCATTATATCGTTGGGTTTCAATAAATTTATGTTTGTAAAATAAATCATGTTAGTATATTGTTGTGTACTTTAACAAGTTAACATGGAAGGTGAATGTGAACTAAAATGGCAATAAATGAAACATTTGGGTTAGATCTGCAAATTGAGAAATACTACATGGACTAAACTTGTAATTTTCTCATTTAAACATCATTACACAAGTTACAATAAACAGTCATTTCCCCTTTTTAATTTGTTTATTTGAAGTTAAAATACCGATCAAATTTAACACAACAGAAATGATTTATAAGACGTTTAAAATATTTTAACATCCTTATAAAGTATTTAACAGTGTTTATAGAACGCTTTTAAACATTTCAGTAAGTTTTTAGAACATTTTTGTATAAAATGTTATATCAGTTATTTTATACGACATTATTTGAAAAAGTTTCCGATAAAAAATGAATTTATAGGACACTTCTCAAAAGCGTTCTATAACATTACTAAATGAGTGTTTGGGATTGCTTATTTTAGGTG